ACTCTTAACTCTTATACACCTTCTTAAACTAATTAATACCCATTCAATACCTCTTAAACTTAAAAATCCAATCCTCCACATAGAATTCAAGAATCTCACTCAAATTCTAACTTCAATTATAATGTTTTAGACTTATTAATCCTTCTTATGACAAGTCAAAAATCTTATCAAAACTCTAAAAACCAAACCATATCAAAATTTATCTTTAAAACTCATTTTACAATCCCATCCTAATTCACTCATCTTATTGTTTTAAGCTTATATAAGATTTCCTTAAGCTTATATAACACCCAATTACTCCAACCCAACCTATAAATTCAAGGAATTAACAAGCTAAAATCAACTTACCTTTGCTTTAGCTCTCACGGTGAAGAGAAAGAAGAAGAAGAAAGAGTTCTCTGGAAACGTTTCCCTCATTTCCCACATTTATATAGCCTACAAAAAGAAATATAAAAATCTTTCTTGTCAAATGACCATTTTACCCTTCTTTCAATCTTTACTAAACCATCCATCAAAAAATGTTTCCAATTAAGTCCCTGAACTTTTAACTTATTTTGAAATTAAACTCAAAACTTTCAAAATTCACATTTTAAATCACTAGCCCTATTTTAGGATGTTACAAATCTCCCCTCCTTTTAAGAAAATTCGTCCTCGAATTTTCACTGAACATATCAATAAGAACATATCTTCTAATGTTCTCATGTTACCTCCTTTACTTAATCTTTCCTTCATTTATTTCTTCAACTACCTTTTTCCTTTATACATTCATTTACTGTCGCTTATCATTTAAACAACAACCAATAACCTTAATTCTTTCCATTCAGAATCATGAATCAACTGCTTCATTATTAATCTCTAGTTACCTCATCATAATAATCAAATTCTTATTCCATCACTATTTGACCCATAACACAACCTTAAATCTTCTTCAAATGTGATTAAACATATACTTTACGAAATCAAACAATCTTTTCACATCACCTTACACCATTTTCTTACAAACTTATCATCTACACTTCCATATAATCTTTATCATATCTAATCCTTTAAACTCAATCCATTTCATTTTTTATTCCATTATTTCTTTATTTATTCAAAATCGAAATCTCTTTATACACAAATCATGTCTTTCCTTTCATGTTCACATACTCTTGTCCTATCACCTATACTCATCTCTGAGTATCAATCTTTATTGCATCCTCGCAACTTTGATAACCCACTCTACTTATACAGAACTTCATTCTTTACCATCTTTTGTACTTGTATTTCTTTCTTTAAAACCCCTTTTTTAAAACATGTATATACTCATCTCCTTGCCTACATCATATCTATATGATCAAAATACACAACCTTATCCAAGTCATATCATACTTGATTAACTTAACTTTATCTTTCCTTCAAATTTTATAACTCTATCACCTTTACTCTTACAACTAGTCAATAACAATTGTTCAATCTAGGGAACATGCCCTAATCAACAAATCATATACATCCTTTCCAATTGGGATTATCTCAACAATAATTTATTTAATTCATGGAATCCACCTTATTCTCCCACACCATGAAATTTTCGTTGTTTAAACTCAACATTCTAACTTCTTTTATCTTATAAACTGATCATCGATATGCCCATTCTTAACTCTTCTTATAAATCCTTAACTTTACTCAACATACAAATCCTTTCCTCCTTCACTATACTACATTACTATGATAAAAATATATAACTGTATCCAGATCCACTTCATATTTGGTTATCTTAACCTGACAATATCTTAAAATCTGATAACTCCAATACATTTTCATCACATAATCATGTTAGCTAACACTAATTCTTTCCATCTATAATGTCAACCCTTATCATATCTACACTCTTACTTATACACAATATTATTCCTTTATTTCAACTTCATGGCTCTGATTTCATTTATCTTATAAACTTGTCACCAAATACTTATTCTTGAACTCTTCTACAAATACTCACCACATCATTTGATCTTTTTAACGTTCTTATGATGACACTTGTTCACCATATTCTATCTTATCCATGTACTAACAAAAATACTCCATATTACTTTTCTGATTCAAAATAATAAAGATCTTTTATCACTATTCTAATATGATTTCAACTTTCTGAAATCAACCTTTGATCTTATGAGGCAACTCCTGAGGTATCCGCTCTTCATCCTGCCTGGCCAGGGCAGGTGAATTGCTATCACAATCAGGAATATCGCCTCTCACTTCACTTCAAAACTATTACAATCAGATCTCTACTATATCATAATATTCTTATTCTATTAGCAATACAATATACTCCTTACACTTATCAGATAAGAAATTATTGACTTTGTGTTGGCATGTACACATTTTAAAACTCTTTTACCTTCGGTTTAAGCCTAAAATCGACTAAACCTTAGCTCTGATACCATTAAATGTAACACCCAACTCGTATCCGACCCGGATCTGAGTTTGAGGTGTCACATTGACTTTTTAAAACTCTGTTCTTTACAAATCCATCAAAATCTTAAATTTATCCTTTGAGAAAATGAATATTTTACATTAATAACTACAATAAAATTGTTTTACAAACCGATGAGAGCATATTCGATTCAAATCTTATAACTACATGCCAACTAAATTCTATAAAACAAAATACATATATTTAATATGTTTCTGATCCGATATTCGTAAGGAAGATGCGAACCTGTCTTGCTCCTCTTTACTCTTCTTCTCGCTTTCCAAACCTACGTGTGAAATAATTCACACGCTAAGTCGATGACTTAGTGAGACACTAACATATAAACGTAACTCTAACTACTTATCCATGCATGAACATATTTACATATCATGCTATCACACAAAACGATATAACATTACATATAATCAAATGTACACATATACACATCATTCATCATTTCCATCATTAATCTTATTTTACTATCAATATGATTATTATTTATATCCTGTAATCATATCCTTTTGTATATACATTTTTAACCAACGTGACTCATTTAACCACGTAATACACATATAATCATTTAAATTATATAATACAATTCATTTCACCAAAAGCATATACATCATAAATCATATGTTATTATTATCTCTTTCAGCCCATGTACATATGTGAGAACTATAGATATGTGAGTACATTGAGGTTGTGCACTATACTGTCACCACAGCTCGTATGGGGTCCCACTATGGTATATGAAATTTGTCCCAAAGGACCTATTTGTCCCGAAGGACCTATGTATGTCCCGAAGGACCTATGTATGTCCCGAAGGACCTCTGTATGTCCCGAAAGACCTATGAACCCTCGACTCTTGGCATGCCAACTATACCTCTAGCTCTCCTTACACATAACATGAGCAGTAGCATTATATCATTTCACATATTCATATAATCATATAGTTCACTATCACATGTTTCTTATCTTTTGTGATCATATATCACATAGTTCATGTCACTTTGCATGGTTTCACATAAGCATATATCATATCTTGTTCACGTATATTTCCCATATAATCCATATCATATGATTCATATCATTCATTATGTCAATATCATACAACTTATGTAAACATATATATATATATATATATATCACTTATACCAGTTCCTATATCTTATCACACTAACATATATTCATACAAATCATGTCACACGCATACAATAACACATAACTCATACACTCATCACAAACACATACTCATGTTCATGTTCATTTTAAGGGATGCATCGATGCACTTATCGCATTCGATGTTTATTTATTTGAGATTGCATCGATACCCATTGAAGATGTATTGATGCACACATCCCAAAAATGTCATTTTGAGCACGAAAATCACTTCATTTTCTTCTCAACACTTAATATTTCACCTCCCTTTATACTCTTAACTCTTATACACCTACTTAAACTAATTAATACCCATTTAATACCTCTTAAACTTAAAAATCCAATCATCCACATAGAATTCAAGAATCTCACTCAAATTCCAACATGCTCCAAATTCAATTCTAATGTTTTAGACTTCTTAATCCTTCTTATGACAAGTCAAAAATCTCATCAAAACTCTAAAAACCAAACCATATCAAAATTTATCTTTAAAACTCATTTTACAAATCCCATCCTAATTTACTCATCTTATTGTTTTAAGCTTATATAAGTTTTCCTTAAACTTATATAACACCCAATAACTCCAACCCAACCTATAAATTCAAGGAATTAACAAGCTAAAATCAATTTACCTTTGCTTTGGCTCTCACGGTGAAGTGAAAGAAGAAGAAGGGAGAGTTCTCTGGAAACTTTTCCCTCATTTATATAGCCTACAAAAAGAAAGATAAAAATCTTTCATGTCAAATAACCAATTTACCCTTCTTTCTTTCAATCTTTACTAAACCATCCATCATAAAATATTTCCAATTAAGTCCCTAACTTTTAACTTATTTTGAAATTAAACACAACTTTCAAAATTCACATTTTAAATCACTAACCCTGTTTTAAGATGTTACACGACTATAAATTTTCAAAATAAAAGGACAAGTTTGAAACATATGAATAGTCAAGTGATCATTTGTAACTTTTAATGGTCGAGGGACTGAACAAAACATTACTCTATAGTCAAGGGATAATTTTTAATTTTTAATAATTTGATGACTCAATAAAGTAATGTCTTATAGTCAGAGGACTATTGTGTAATTTACCCATTAAAATATTATCATTAAACTTTGTGTCATAATCGAATTAATTATTAAAATATTATATTAGAGAAATATATAAATTTAAAGATTTCTTTTCATATAAGGAAATATATCAAATTTAGATTCAACTTTTTAATAAAAATATTTTATATATTTTATCAAATCAAAAGAATATTTTATTTATATATTTATGTGGTGTGATATCAACTAGTCCAAAACTATTAATTTATTAAATTCCATATTACCGTACTTCTTTTCCTTCGTTTTCTCTCATTATATGGAAAAACGCAGCGTCGGGGATCTCCATTTCTGCGTTGCATTTTGGGTTCCCAATGTCCAAACCTCGACTCCTTAAAATATTTTTTTCTCCTTTTTGGTGTCTCTTTATTTGCCGCCACCTCCATTAAATTCCTTCTTTCCCTGCCTCCCTCCCTCCTTCTTCCTCCTCTTCTTTGTTTTCCTGTTGTACAAATTATGAAACTATTACTACTGATATGTGCAAACCATTCAGTTTAGTTTTCTTACAAGATCAACCTCAATGTTCAAAATGATCAAACAACATCACCCAAATCTCCAACATACCAAAGGTTCGTTCTTTGGCTTCATGTTGTTGCCCACTTCACTTTTCGCTCTTTCCATCATCCTCCTTTTAGCTTTCAATGGCTTCTCCGTTTTCTATATCTATCTCCCCGGTTATCTCAAATCTTCACCGGAACCCATCAGATTACTGCCTGAGAATCTTTCCGGCGAGAAAACGGTGACGAAGCTGGTCTCTTCAGTGATGTATGCAGTGAAAGAAGAAAACCCATCCGTTGTTTCAAAGACCCATTTGGTCCAAAAACCAAACGTTTCAATGGTTCCCAGACCAAAACAGGGTCGTTTAGCCCGACAGATACACAGAACACTGGGTGGTTCAGGGACAAAGACAAAAGGGGTTTTCGCCTCTAAAGTTAAGGCCTTCTTCCAGAATTCAAAGTGCAAGTCCCGGTTCTTCATGACTTGGATTTCTTCGATCGAGGCGTTGAGTGATCGAGAATTGCTAGCGATCGAGAGTGTGTTCAAATCACACCCCAAAGCCTGTTTAGTCATCGTTTCGAATTCATTGAATTCCAAAAAGGGAAACGCTGTTTTGAAGCCGTTTCGGGATTTGGGGTTCAAATTGATCGCTGTTCATCCCGATTTTGATTATATTTTCAAGAACACGTTCGCCGAAACGTGGTTTAATCGGTTGAAGAAAGGGAGCGTCGATCCCGGTGAAGTTTCTCTTGGTCAAAATCTCTCGAATTTGCTTCGGCTTGCTTTGTTATATAAATACGGCGGTGTTTATATAGACACCGATGTTCTAGTTTTGAAGAGATTCGATCGTTTGAGAAACGTGATCAGTGCTCAATCCATCGATCCCGGAACCAAGAACTGGAGCCGGTTGAACAATGCCGTTCTGATTTTCGACGAACACCATCCGTTGTTGTTCAAATTCATTCAGGAATTCGCGCTCACGTTCGACGGAAACCGATGGGGTCACAACGGACCTTACTTGGTCTCGAGGGTCGTTGCGAGGGTCACCGGTCGACCGGGGTTTAACTTCACAGTGCTTCCGCCTTCGGCGTTTTATCCGGTCGATTGGACTCGGATTCGGAGCCTGTTTCAGGGGCCGAGAAACGGGAGCCACTCGAATTGGTTGAATGTTAAGCTTAGGCAGATCCGGAGGCAGAGCTATGCGATTCATCTTTGGAATAGACAAAGTAAGAAGGTTGAAGTTGAAGAAGGGAGCATCATTGATCATATTATTTCAGATTGCTGCATCTTTTGCAACTCTTCAAAATCAAGTTTTAAAGTACAGAAATAAGGATCAAATTGTCACATTATTGTTCTATGTTGAAATGTTTATCATTATCGTAACCGATTTTCAGAAGGAATATCGATCCGACATTTTGGAAAATAAAAGGTTTTTATGAAAATATAGAAGTTGTCATCAATTATTTTTAAGGTGAGATTAAAATACCTAAAATCATGTAAATTTAATAAAACATTTTATTTTAATAAAACATTTTATTTTACTAAAAATACCAAATTTTGGTATGCAAAATCTAAAATTAAGTTCGAGTCAATTACGCGTGGAGAATGATTAACACCCCACAATGCCTTAAATTGGTACCTAGTTTATTACCCTATATTTTAAAATTGAAAATTTTGAGTTCGAAAATGTATTTAATTTAAAATTCACTATGTAAGCTTATTTTAAATAGAATTTCGATTTACCAAGGTTAATAACGATCACTCCAAGCAAAAGCAGAAGCTTTGTTACTAATCTCAATAAATGAACATTACCTTAATAATTTAGAAATCTATGATTCGGGTTCTGAAAAGAATGTCGATTTACTTCGAAAATCAATAGCGGTCACCCCCGGGAAAAAGTGGATACACTACTAACCCCTAATAAATGAACATTGCCTTATTTTGAAAACAAAATGAAATCAAGCGATCGATTATAGAACTTAATTATACTAAACAAATAAATTAAGGGTTCCCTCTAACTTAAAGTGTCAAATTATGAGATTTAAAGAACCTAGGGGACTGAACCTAAAAAAGTAGGCTCTAATATTAATTCTAATTCATTTTAACCAATTATTGATTCGAATAATTAAAATGGAACCTCGAGCATATGTGAGGACCAAATTAAAAATTCTCCTAAATTAAAAGACTAAATATGAAATTAGACCTAAAGTGAAGGTTCTAACATTAATCCTAATTCATTTTAACCAATTATTGATTCGAATAATTAAAACGGAACCTCGAGCATAAGCGATGACCAAATTAAAAATTCTCCTAAATTAAAGGACTAAATTTGAAATTAAACCTAAAGTGAAGGCCCTAATATTAATCCTAATTAATTTTAATTGATTATTGATTCGAATAATTAAAATAGAAACTCGAGCATAAGCGAGGACCAAATTAAAAATTCCTCTAAATTAAAGGGCTAAATTAAAAGGATCTAAATCTAAAAGTAAAGTAATATAGATTAGGACTAAAATAAAATGAAGTTAAAATTATCAACCAAAATTAAAAGCAATTAAAATACCTAGAAGGATTAAATTAATATAATTTAAAAGGCAAAGCTGAAAATAGAACAATAAGTAAGGACTAAAATGAAAGAAATAGGAATATAAAGATTTAATTGAAACAGTGCAGAAAATTTGAAACTGGAATTTAAAGGACTGAAATGTAAATACTGAAATTTAAAGGCTGAAATTAAAATAACAGAAAATTAAAGTAAATGGAATTTTAAGTACTAAAATAAAATAAAGGAAAATAAAGGGCGCACATTTAAAGTGCATAAAATTAAATAAAATAAAATAAAAATTAAATATTAGTGTTAATTTTAATATTTAACCTGAACCATAAATAATACGAGTCGTCGCAAGGTCGAACCATAATTCGAACATAAAATAAAAAATTGGTGGTTAGTGGTTAGTAGTTAGAATTAATCAGAATTTTAGAACAACAAGTAAATTAATAATCAGATTAAGTGTTCGAATCTTAAAATTTTGAATGAAATAATTGAGTTAGAAGGATAGTTTCTATAATATATTTTAGTAATATAGGATCTGAATTAAGTAATCAATAAATTAAATATTGATAATTAAATAGAGGAAAAATGATAAACTTTGTCTCTACCAATTAATTTCAAACTTTGAATATGAAAAAGGCGAAAATAATATGGTGTTTAAATTGTTTAGTTCATGTGCAATACTTCGATGGTTGATAATTCTGGGGGGGGAAAATCAACAATGATTGAGATTTGAGTTTGTTTGATTGGTTGAAAAAAACATATATAATGGCGATGGCCAGTTCTTAGGAAAGTGATTTCTCATCTTCCAATTAATGCAAACACTCCAAGTCACATGAGATATGCCAATTGTAACCATCATCCTTATCTCTTTTTGGACTTGTAATTTGTATAAATTATTAAAAAATCAAATTAGATATTAAATTAATAAATTAATAAATAATTAATTTGATTATTGATTTAAAATATATTTTTTCCGAATGATCTTGGGTGATTGTAATGTAGCATATGTTAAAAAAAATTAACCATTAACGATACATATATCCTACAAATATAACTGTTCGAACTCATAATCTCTAAAAAATATTTTCTTTAACCATTAAAATCACTTGATGAACTCCAATTTAAAATAAATTAAACAGTGAATATAATAAATAATTAATAATAATATACGTTTGGCTTAATAGTATCTTTATCATTAACTAAAAATTAAGACTCGTCGAAAATTAAGATAACATAGAATTGTTACCCAAAAAGCAATAAACATAGAATTAATGTTTTACATATTTAATTTGTTTTTTTAACCTATTAAAACGATTTTTATATTATTATTTTTGGGTATAACAAATCTATTAATCGACTAATCCATATCAAATACTATAGAGATAATTATGAATCTAATTTATTCCATTCATAATCGTTGGAATTCAAACTCCTGACATTACTTAAGAGATCTAGTGTATCATTCTATTAGACCAACTGATTGTTGTTAAAAATTTTTTATATGATTATGACTAAAGAAGCTTTTAATCTGATTTAACTAATTCAGCACCTTTTACCCCACCATACTGTGAAAGATTCTTCACATTAATTTTTTTGGTAAAGAACGCATGTGGTCATCGACTATATGATATTATGTTATTCAATCATTTGATTATTAAAAGTTATAAAATATTTCTTTGATTATGGAGTGTTACTTTGTTAGTCACTCGACTATTAAAAGTTACGAAATTGGCAGTTGTTTAAGTTGGATGTTAACATGATAACTGAGATATGATATATTCATTTGAGATTTTGAGATGAAATTTTATCATATCACAATTAATAAGTTAATATTAAGCTCAGAACATGATTCATTTTTAACGAAAAAGGATAAGTTTATAACATAATGAATACTCGGATGACCATTTTGTAACTTTTAATAGTCGAATGACTCCACAAAGTAATACTCTATAGTTGAAGGAATATTTTATAATTTTTAATAATCAAAAAATTTAATAAAACAATACACTATAATAGAAAGATCATTTACATTTTTACCCTTATTTTTTCTAACATATTTTTTTCCGATCATATTTAAGTAGGTTGAATTTATCAAATAATGTAGTTGGAAAAAAATTTGTTCGAATAGGGCACTCTCGAAATTATTTCGTGAAATAGAGTGAATGCTACAGTAAATCCAAAGACGCATTGGAGTCCAAGCGACTTATTGGGGGAGACGCATGGAGTGCAATGCCTCTCCCATATTTTTTCACTATGTAAATGTACAAAGGGTAAATTGCACAATTAATCATTCATATTTTTATTTAGCCGTGTAAATATATATATAAACTTTATATCTATTAAATATTTGTTGAGATTTGCGGAAGATCAAATTGACAACCGGAACGGTTTGCAAAGAGGGGTCGGAACGGTTTTGTGTTTAGGGAGTAAGGAGATTGAAAGATAGAGAATTGCACAACGATTTTATAGTGGTTCGACTTTCTCAACCAAAGTCTACGTCCACTACCTTAGCTCCTCACCAAGGATTTTCCAACAAATTCACTAATTTGTTCTTTCTTTTGAGGATAAAGAGTAACCTTACAAACTCCCTAGTTTTTCTGGGCTAAACTAGAACCTTTCCCTAGCTTTTACACGGGATTAGCTAGAACCTTTCCCTAGCTTTTACACGGGATTAGCTAGAACCTTTCCCATTTACAAAAGGATAAGAAATGTAAACAAGAAAACCTCTCTAAGGTAGGTGTTTACAAGATTGAGCTCACAAGAACAAAATATTTACAAGAGAAAGATGAAATAAGAATGAAAAACTCTTCTCTTGTGTTTGATTGCTTGGATAGTTGTTCTCTTACTTCTTCAAGTGTCCTTAGCTTGTATTTATAGCTTGGAATGTGTTTGATGTTGTATATAGCCGTTGGGGATGTTTTTTCTACTCAAAAAGGCTTCCCATAACATGGTGCATCGATGCACTATCATGGTGCATCGATACCCCTTCATTAAATTCAAATAAACTAGCCATTACTAGCCGTTGCAGTCTTCGTGCATGGATGCACAGCAGGATGCATCGATGCACAACCTTGATGCATCGATGCACAAAAGGATGCATCGATGCACTAATTGCATTCGATGTTTGAGTGCTTGGATGCACTCCATGGTGCATCGATGCACTAGTGCAGGTGCATGAATGCACTGCAAGGGTGCATGAATGCACTTTGACACCCTTTAGCATTTTGGCTCAAATCCGAATTTAATGGACTTTGAATTATTTTTGAAACCTTTTAAAACTTTGAATAAATTCAATTAAGTCCAAAAACATTTTGTAAATTCAATTCAAGTCCAAAAACCATTTTGCCTTAAATTGTTATATCAAAACATAGTTCAACAATCTCCCCTTTTTGATATAACAAAACATTTGAAAATTTGTTTTTTTTGGCAAAACTCCCCCTTAATAAATTGTTTAATGAAAAAGATATCAATTGTTAACAATTGTTGGAAAATATATGAAAATGTGAAGCTTCCCTTTTTTCATTTAGAAATTGAATTTTTCAAATCAAACTTCTCCCCCTTTTTGTTATATCAAAAATAATTCGATCTTTGAAGTTCAAAATAACTTTGGAGTGTAAGTGGTAAATTTGACATTTAAAAATCATTTGAAAAATCAAAGCTCCCCCTCAATAAATGCATTCCAATCAAAATTTAGCTTTAAGAACTTGACACTTAAAAAGAAATTGAATTTCTACAAAGAATAACAAATATGTTAATAGCACATGAAATTCAATATATCCAAGACTAAAATACTTTATGCAATACCAATTGTTGAAATTTGATATCAATA